ATGAAAAATTGCGTATTGAGCCATGGATGAATAAACGACAAGAATGGAGGGGTACGAGAACACATGGAAACATCAGCCGCAAAATTTTTGAATGTTCTTATTATCTCTTTATCATGGCATAATTCCTGTAATAATAAGAGAAGCAAAATAAGTAAGTGCTGTATTTTATTTTGAAATACAGTAGACGTAAATATTTGTAAATACCTCTCCCATATAAATATTTGCGACTGATCTCGCGATAATTTCTTGACATAAGTCCAAAGGTTTGCAAATAAATTTAGGTTCTAATAGTGCTCATGTAATTAGATTAATCAGCGTTAGGGTTAAATAACAAGTCAGCATCTTTTACCTTTACAATCACCAATTAACTCATCGAGAGCAAGAGAAAGAGATTTCTGAATTCTATCACGAAAAACTTCCATCCGCCCGACAATTCCTTGACGAACTAGCTCAGTAAAGATGGTAGCGTAGTCTTCATTATGAAGATTGACAAGACGCGCTAATGGCATTCTCTAATGTCAAGATCGAAATCAAAATAATTATAATTAATCCATTATACTCAAAAGGGGATTATTACGTTTACAATATTTACGGATTCAAGATACACTAGAAAATTCATCGATTTCGTGCTCAAAATTTCATAGCTCAATTTGTTGGTAATGAATGTGACGATTCTGCCAAACGTATATATCGAGAAAATATCTCCATGCTTTGAAAACGATTGAAAAAAATGGGTTTAATTAGTTTCGGTATTTGAAGAATGAGTATTACAAATTGAGAAAGTTTACTTGTTGATGTGCTTTTCTGAGTAGTTCCTCACTATTATTCAAGAATTCAAAAGAGTGGCCAATAATCGGTATATCATAGTACACGAGCGGAGGTTCATTCTAAAAAAAATCCTGAATTATCATTTAAATTACGTAGTCACAAGTGAAATATTTACTTACGATAATTTTTTTTTTATGTCTAATCAAATAAACTGCAAAAACTAGCGATAAACCCAACAAAGCGAGTTGTAACATTATTTTTGTTATCGTTGTCTGAGAAAGCTTTTCTAAAAAGGATACCGATGTGCAATGGGCGTTTTTACATGTACATGTATTTACATGCACATGTACATGTATTCCGTAATAGGTTAATGGATTTTAATTTATTCCAGTGTCTATTGAAAAACAAGCATTAAAAATAAAATAAAAGTAACTTTCGCTTATAATCATGTACACTCTGGACAAAAGTTTGGAATCGGGAAATGATCAGCAATGTAGGTCACGAATTTTGATGTGACTTTTTAATCAATATTTCTCAACTTCTCTTTAAATAAACTACGATAAAAAATATATCATTTTATTCAGCAAAAGTAGGG